TGTTCCTTCCGGTTGTAGGACTGCGGTCCTGTGGCCTTGAGGCTGCTCAGCCCCCAGAGGGTCACAGCTCCTGGCCGGAGGCCTGGCCAGGGGAAGTCCATGACGTGGCCGTTTGCTTCCAGAGCATCAGAGACTCTCCACAGCTTCGGATGCTTCCTGTGGGGGAGGCAGGGCCCTCAGACAAAGGGCTCGCCTGATTCGGTCAGGCCCACCACCCAGGGCCATCTCCCCCTGGAATGACTCAAAGTCAGCAGATTGGGAGCTCAGTTACATCCGCAAGACTGCACCATCTTTGCCACTGATAGGACCGGGTTGTGGGAGTGAAATCCCAGCACGTCCCGGACACCCCGACGCACCAGGGATCACACAGTCCTTGGAGACAGGCTGCCCAAACTTCTCTCAGTGAAAGCACGCCCTCCTGGTCTTCACTGCGTTTTCAATGGTACATCAGCCCTGGAGGAACTGGTGAGCTCTGGGACCCCCGCTGGGTGTTTCAGACGTGTCATTGGGCTCAGCGGTCCAGCAAGGATAGACCCCTTTTACAGATGAGGAAACCGGGCTGGCAGAAGGCAAGGTATGCCGAGGGTGCTCCCCTGCTGGCTATTTGGGGTCACGCTGGGTTGGAGGGAGCAGAGCCCGGAGTGGCCCCTGTCACCCCAGAGCTTGTGCAGACTGTGACCCGCCCCATTCCCCAGCCAGGCACTAGATACACAAGGGAGCTTGTCGATGGCCACCCAGGGTCCTGGACATGCAACCCGGGTCACTGAGGGTGCCGGCTAGAGTCCAAGGGCAACTTAATGCCCCCAGCGGGGTCGCCTGGACACGCTGCTGCATTCACGGGTGAGGCCTTCATGGCCTGCTTGGACCTCTGCTGACTCCCTGAGCTGGCCTCTCCCGTCTCTGGAAAACCGCCTAGGAGAGAGCATGTCACAGGGCTGAACCACAACGCACACCCGCTCAGCTCTGCCCACTCTCAGAGGCGGTGGGCTCTGTGGTGATGGCGAGGACGGTGGCAGACTTGCTGTGCACCCTTGGGACAACTGCTGCCCCTCTCTGAACCTCGGCTTCCTCACCCACCCTGGACTCAGACCTATATCTTTCCCTTGGAGGCACCAGTGCAGAAAAAACTGTGGGCTCCAAGAAGTGTGAAGCTGGCATGCTGGAAGGAGCTCTGTGGCCTCTCGGTCGGGAGGCGGTGCTGTGTGACCGGGGGCAAGTTCCTTTCCTTCTCTGTTCAGGCGAGAATCTCCAGGGATCCCCAGCAGCGAGCGTGACTTCAGTCCCAGCCTCACGAGTTCCTCTGGGAGGGCTATCAGAACACCCCTGCGTTCCCACCCAGCTCAACCGCACCTGCCAGGAGAGACTCGCTTCCCTCGAAACCCGGGCGGCTGGCTTCCAGGTGGGAGCCTACTTGCCGTGTGCCCAGTCCCACCTCCAGCCGCTGGCTAGGAAGCGAGGAGCAGTGTGGAAAAGCCGCCCCCAGGCCTCCCCCTCCACCATGTTCCCTTCCGTTCTGCGCAGCTGCTCTGGGCCCGGGGCTTTCCTGCATTCTCTCCTCACTCTCAAGACCTTGAGGGAGGGTTTGTCTTCGGGAACAGGGGAAGAGACAGAGGGTCCAAGAGGTTGAGGGAATTAACTTTTGGTTGCGCACCCTGTAGCCTGTGGTCGTTGGAGCTTGTCCTGTAGTAACAAGCATCGTTAATAGGAAACAGGTGACCACTCGCTGGCCCTCGGGGCCCCGACGCCTCACTGTCATGGGGACCAAACTGGGGCTCAGAGAAATACAGTCTCTGGCCTTCCGGGCTCTGCGGACCTCGAGGAGTGGGGTCTCTCGGTGGGGCCCAGGCAGGGTGGGCGGGGGCTGGGACCCCAGGCGGGCAGGGCAGGGGCAAGAGACGGGGCGCACAGGCCCCAAGGCGCCCACGCGCGTCGAGGCAGGTGCCAGGCATAGAGGGACCTGGGCTGCTGGTCCCGCCCCACGTGGAATGGCGGCGGGCCCCGGCCTGGCGCTGGGGAGACGTGTCCTGAGTCACCGCGACGGGCGCTTCCTGCGGCGTCCAGCGCGGTTGTCACGCCTCCTGCTTTCAGTCAGGCTGCGTCCTCCCTTCTCCCAAGCCCAACCCACGCAGGGCAGTTTGGGGTCAAGACTGGGATGGTCAGCAGTTCTAATAAACTGCTTCCCGCACGGCGGTTCTGGAAAGCTCTCTGCCGCCCCTTGGTGGGGGAGGCATGGAGCAGGACTTCTGCAGGACGGAGGCCGTCTCCTCTGTCCTCTGTTCCCCCCTCCCCATCGCCCTCACCCCCGGTCTCCTGGCTCTGTCAGTTATGCTGGGAGGAGAACCAGGCCCGGGCAGAGCCAGCCGACGGGCGCTCAGTCCCTTACCGAGACAAGTCTCTCTCCAGGCCTCAATTTCCCCTTCTGTTAGGGGGAGAAGGGGTGGATGTGGGAGGTCTCTTAGGGCTGATGAAAACATTCTGGATGGCCGGGTGCAGGGACTCGAGCCTATAATCCCAGCACTTTGGGAGGCTGAGGTGGGAGGACTGCCTGAGCCCACGGATTCAAGACCAGCCTGGGCAACGTGGTGAGACCTCGACTCTACATAAATCAAAAATCAGCCGGGCGTGGTAGCGCACACCTGTAGTTCTAGCTCCTTGGAAGGCTGAGGCGGAAGGGTCGCCGGAGCCCAGCAGGTTGAGGCTGCGGTGGCCGGGAGCGTGCCACCGCGCTCCAGTCTGGGCGACGGAGTGAGACGCCAACTCAAAAAAGAAAAAAAAAGAAAGAAAGAAAAGAAAAAGGAAAACGTTCTGGAACTGGATAGAGGTGGCGGTGACACAACACTGTGAATGCACCACATGCCACCCAAGCGTCCACTTTGAAATAATTGCATGTCACTGTCACCTCGTTTTAAGAAATGTTTAAAAGAGAGGCTTGGAATCGAGCTTCGTATGGGAGGATCACCTGGGATGCCCATAGCCTCTGAGCCTCAGTTTCCCCGCCTGTAAGCTGTCATTAAAAAAAAAAGTGAACCGTGTTTCCTGGGCCCAGAGATGACAAGGAGTGGTGCCTGGGATCCCCGGTGTCTGGGTGAAGCCTCGTGTCCGGAAGGGGACAGGGTGTAGGGGGAGGCCTGGGGTGCCCCAGATGGGGTCTTTCCACACTGCAGCAGCCCCACACAGGCGGGGAGCCCCGCCCCTCGCTTCCC